CATATCTTTCTTTCTATGCTATTCTCATTTCAATCTTCTCAAGGTAGTTTTGTAAATTATTCAACATTTTTGTTGCATCATTTGCTGTTTGTTTTGTAATTATACATAGATCATCTCCATATTCAATGTGTTTTACTAACCATACTTTCCATTCTTTATCAACCATTTCTATTCCATCATTTGATTTGTCTATTGTTTCTTTCAAAATCTCTTAGAATAAAAAGTCAACGAGAAGTGACTCCTCTTTACCTCCTTGTCTGACATCTCTACTCATTGTGAAATATGAGTTTTTTTCCAATTAGGCTCCTTTTTGGACTCTTGAAAAATCTTTTCACACTCTCTTTTATGTTTCTTTTCAAAAAAAAATAGATATTTAACAATCCCCAATACCCTATACTGACTATTAACATAATGCTGAATTTGAAATAACCATTTATTAATTAGTGAGGAACGAGTTGTCTGAAATGCTAAGTAATGTGGATTTTACAAATGTTTGGGGTGTAAGTTCTACAATATTTGGAATAATTTTGCCATGTAATATAACAAGATTAACCATAATTTACATCAAAAAAGTCTTCATGTAAGTTGGATTTCACATGTAAATGTATAAGGCTGTTTATTTATAGATATATGTGCAAATATATGTGTATTGTCTATGAGAGAGAGAGAAGAACATGAAAATAGGATATTTTGAAAATGGAAGATTAATATTATAAATTGCGTAATACTTTTTTTGTAAAAATGATTAACAGAATGAAGCCTAGATAAGAAGCAAACATTCACGTCGTTGAAAACCATCTGAAACTAAAACAATATGCAGTAGGTTTTCTGTAGTTCAGGTGTTCGTTATTTGCTAGATAGTGTTTATGACGTCCTTTTTACCAGAATCTCAATCGTATTTCCCTATTTCCTGTTTCTTAACTGAGCTTCCATTTCCAAAACATTTTCTAAATGATCTTTTGAGTTGTTTTTTCTAGGATATTCGTTTATTTAGCCTTTAAATAGATAACTATCTGAACAAATCCCTTAATAAGTATTGTCGTTTATTGATATATATATGTTGAGTTTTGGTGGGCGGCCTATGCTCCTTCATGAGGGGTAACAGGCGTAAGCAAGTAGTATGTATATGTCAAATTTAATTTTAATCAGAAAATTTAAAATATGTTATAGCAACTCACGTGTAATTTTGTTCACATTTAATTCGATTGAGTCATTTTGTTAACTAATTAACGAACTCAGTCATCCGTACAACAACAACTTATCTATATCATTGTATCTTTATTATTGTTGCGAATGTATGAATATGTATGCTTGAGCATTGCTTACTGCCTACGCATTTATTCACGCTGCTAGCCTTACTACTAACCGCTTAATTGATTCGATGATTCACTATGTATATTATGTCCATGTTATTCATGTTCATTGCTCTCTCTCCCTCACTTAGTTGTACTCGCTTACTCGTACTCATATTCACTGACTCACTCGCTCGCTTGCATGCCTGCTTGCGTTTCGGCACAACTCTTTCATGCTTGTTTAACGCACGTGTAATTTTGGATATCTGTGTGTGTGGTCCCATAATAAACGTAATCAACGCTTCGTATTCGCCTTCTGATTAATATACCGCTGGGGAGTTATCTAGTGACGGTTATCAAGACGAGCTGTATACGAAGTCTAAGAATTATGTTAAATACCGACCACCACAATGTTTATTTGTTTTGTTTAATAACCTATAATATTACTGTATATAGATTGTAAGGAATTGAAGAGAATCCACGAAAAATAAAAATGAATTTTATAGTATTCTACTATTCCCTTTGTTGTTCACGCTTTATCCAAACAGATTATTCTATTCACTTATAGTCTAGAAATAACTATTCGGTTAAAGAATACGAAATATGAATTCTGTGGTCACTAACACATAACCGTATACATTGAAAGATTATTTAATTTTGTGAAATATATTCAAGGGGTAAGAACAATTTGATAGAGAAATTTAAGATTGTCAGAAGGGGTTTGTGGATATTTTAGAGATTTCCACAGATTGAAATCATGAGTCAGTTGAAGCTAGACCACTATGGAAAACCTGGAAGCACTGGATGGACGTTTCGTCCTAGCATGGGACTCCTCAGCAGTGCGCATCCACAGTGTGCATCTCCCACAAACCCCTTCTCGTAACAATCATCTGCTCACTAGTGACTGACTTCAAGAGATACTCCTGGATTTCTAGTGGGAAGCCGCTACCAGTGGAGTTCTAGTGGGAAGCTGTTACCAGTGGAGTTCAACCAGGTCTGTTGTGAGATATCAGCTCACTGAAGACAATGGTATACGGTGGCGCAACTTCGTGGATTGCTTGAAGTTTGAAATTAACACCGTTGGATGCCGGCTCAGTGGTCTGATGGTTAAGTACTCGCGCGCGAAGCCAGTAGGTCCTGGGTTCGTGGATGCGCACTGCTGAGGAGTCCCATACTAGGATGAAACGGCCACCCAGTGCTTCCAGGTTTTCCATGGTGGTCTAGCTTCAACTGACTCATGATTTTAATCTGTGAAAATTTAAGATTGTTTATTTTTTATTTGATAGTTCTTATGTTAACATTCAATAAATCAAGTGCGATAATTGTCCCTAAATAAATGCAAACTAGTGAAGTATTATAGAAGAATACATGCAACTTGATAAACACAAAAGAGGAGGATAGAAACATATTTGCTGAGTACGAAAACAATCAAGTATTATTAAGATAATCTTTTGGTTTTAAACATTTTTATTGCATAAGTGTCTGATATATCCCGACGAGTATAATGAATGATAACTGTTGGGATCTATTTATGGACTAATACTATACATATATTTCTATTGTGTATTTGTCAAGATATATATATATATATATATATATATATATATATATATTCCTCTTATTATAAGTTTTATTTTGACCTATAGACTATTATTACTATAAGATTTACTGTTATACCCAGTTTATTAATTTCAGTTTCCCACAATCACGGCCACTTTTGGCTAGATATTATACAAATGTTATTTTCTATTTTATGGTGTGATGTGGTCTCTTTGGTTCGTATATAAACCCAGTATGTTTGAAATACATGATTGATATCACGGAGGCTGAGAATAATGTTCTGAAATCAACAGGCAGGGCTAGGCAAGAAGAAGGACCCTAAACTGCTCGTACGGGTTAATGAGTCATTGGTCCGGTCGATAAGTCAATATTCTCTAATTGTCAGTATCATTACTTTGTATACTAATAGGGCACAAGACCACAAGTTATAACAGTTTCTCATAATTTTCCGAACAGCGATTTGTCGTTTATTACAGATCTATCGAAAAGCAGCATTTTTATGACCATATACTGATTCACAAAATTGAATCGCTTAATTATTTCATATATTACTGAGCACAATTTAATTAAATATTCAATAGTTTAACTAATTCTATGCCAATTTATGAATATCTATTTTAATTCGATTGGATCATAATTTTCGATACATCTGTGAAATCTTCTTTTTAATTTCTCAATGTATATTTAATGAAGACATCATGGTAGTCGAAAGAAACATCCTTTAAAACAGCTTCCCATTTTAAATATTACATATCGAGAGTTTCATCAAAGATTTTTAAAAAGCACCCTTAAACCAGAGAACCATTTCATGTTTTTCAAACATCTAAACAAATGTTTAACCTAATGATTATGGATATATGTAAGAGATGGTTTATTATTAGCAGTGAAATTTAGAATGTAAGTTTCGTCTTGTTCGGGACGTATCAACTAGATGTATATGCATCATAATGTTAATGCTTTAAACGCCAACAAGTTATCTGCTAACAATATCGACCCTCCAGGCTAACTAAATTTATTGTCTGCCAAACACCCAGAGTAAGTGTTAGATATAATTTTATTGCTAGGACGAAAAGATAATCTAATGCTTCCAGATTTTCAGTGACAGTCTTACTAAGATTAATTTAAAATGTGTGAAAATTCTATAATCTCCATAAAACATTAGGCTGATATTATTGTCTGAATCAAAAGCCTACTAATAACCAAAACAATACAAGTAGTATATTTCTTTTAGTTAATGAATCTTCAAGTAAATATTTTCATTTTATCATATATTTCCCAACAACAACAAAAAAAAAACGATACATGGTTAGTTTATTTGTCAACTTTCTTCCAATAATTCGAACAAAAATTAAAAAAAAGATGAATATCCGTGTGCTTCCCTTTCATATTGAATTTGGATTCATTTATTTTTATAGAAATTCTAAAACATAAATAAATAATTTTTGCCAGCACATGATCCCAATGATGATAGTTATATGTTACCATTATTATTATTACTACTATTATTATTACTACTATTATTAGTAGTAGTATTAGTAGTAGTAGTAGTAGTATTACTATTATTGTTACTGTTATCACTATTATTATTATTATTGCGATAACATTGATTTTGTTTACTTCATTATATTGAAGACAAATAAAATAATATTTTTATCCACGAAAAGAGAATATTCATCCTTTTTTCTTTATAAAAAAAACAGAAAAACTTTTGTTTTGTTTATATTTTCGTGTAAATGGTGTTTATTTGTTTTTTTTTTTCCATTTTTTTTTACTTGTTTAAAAGTTCCCATAATAAGTTTCTGAGTTAGTCTACCATATTACGTCAGATATAGGATAGATGGTAGCTTTTCAAATATAACTGAGCATACAATCAAATGGACATAATGGCAGTTCTCTTTAGTGGATTTTATCCAATCCTAATGAACTAGATGATCTTTAATTTGATTGGATTAAAAAAGTTTCGTTTTTTTTCTTTGGATATAATATATAATGAGTAGTATCAGCAAAGAGCCATAAAAATCATAAACTTGATAACCCATTCATAAATATACATATGTTTATGATATGAAAAATTAATGTCTATTATAGAAAGGATATAATAAATAGTTTATAACATATTTTGAATTAGTCAAATTGTATTGAGAATAAATGTGTTATAGTGATAATAGTACTAATTATTATCAACAATTTATCCAAATTAGTATTGGATGTATCGGTATATTATCATTCATTGCACATTTTATTGCATTCATTCTTTGGACTACTTATATTCTAGGTTGGAGAACAATAATAAAATGGAAATTTATACAACGAAAAAGACAACTAAATTATAATTTTATGACTACTAATCCATCTTGTACTATATTACAAACAATGACAAAAGTTACAACGACGACGACGATAACAACGACAACAGCAAATACACTAATCCATCGAAATGATATCAATACATCAGAACAAATACAATCTATGATAACAGTAAAAGAAAATTTAATATGGCCTAATTGTTCATTAAGAATATCAATTCAAATTATTATATTATCCATGGAATTCATTAATATTATAGGATGTTGTACAGATTTAACACGTTTAATCTATTTATCAATGACTGGTAATGATTTACGTTTATTAACCAATGATTGGTTATGTAGAATACAAATCTTTTTATCATTTATCTCATGTGATATATCTGGTTGGCATTTTGTATGTTTATGCATTGAACGTTGTTATATTATATTATTTCCAAGAAATTATTATAGTATCAATCGTACATCCATTAAACCAGCTTTAATTATGATTTTATTTATTTATTTTATAGGTATATTATCAAATCTATTTTTATTAATACCCAATTATTCTGTATGTAATGAACCATTTAAAAGTACATTAGTGAATACGATTAAATTTTCAATGACATTTATTATACCAGGATTCACTGTGATTATATCAACTGTATTAATGATTGTTGTATTAATTCATTGGAAATTAAAAAATATTAAATCAGACTTCATAAATAATAATAATAATAATAATAATAATACTAATGGTTCTAATCATCATCATCATAATAATAATAATACTAATAATAGTAGTAATAATACATCAGCTAGAATAACCGTAGCTAAAATGATGTTAATCTGTGCAATTTTATATTTATTCATTTTATTTTGTTTATTTGTATTCGGTTCAATTTATGATGATTATTGTTGTTTTTTAGTAGCTAAAACAAATAATCATTGGATTGATAATTTATTTAATTTATTATCTATTCTCTATTGGTTTGTATTGACAATTACTAGTTATGTATTAATGTTAGGTACTATCACTGTACGTCATGATATAAAAACGATATTAATAATTATATGGTATAAAATATGGAAAAGAAATTCATTCATCACATAGATCTGTATTTTTTTTAGCCGATTGCATTATTCATGTACAATAATAACAAATTGGGGAGTTGTTTTTCTTTTTTACTTTGGATATTCTTCTTCTTCTCTTTTGTTGTTGTTGTTGTTGTGGTGGTGGTGGTGGTGGTTGTTTTGTTTCATGAACTATCCATTCGAAATGTTTTATCTCGTTTGTTGTTGTTTTTGTCGTTGTTGTTGTTGTTTTTCTTTTCTTTTTCATTGAAATCTTTTTTCAATAGAAAATGAATAGAATAGATTGCCATGTTATAACATACTGTTTATTTTGCCTAATTCTCATCCATTTATTTTCATCTTATTGTTTATTTCTATATATGTATATATATTAGATGATAGTTTCATTTGGAGTAGATTTCTAATTCAATTATTCTATATCTATAATTATGTTCTCATAATAAAATCAATATTCATTATGATTCGATGTTAAATTATTCATTTGATAAATATCTAGATAGATTTAGCTTCTTCAAACAAACTCTTTTTGTTTGTTTTTGTATAGTTTTCGATATGAAGGGGTTTTTGTGGATATTATAGCAATTTCAATAGTTGAGATTATGAGTTAATTGAAGCCAGACCACTATGGAAAACCTGGTAGCACTGGACATGCGTTTCGTCCTATTGTAGGACTCCTCAGGAATACGCAACCACGAAGAGTCCCACAAAAAGACGAAACGCCTATCCAGTGCTTCCAAGTTTTCCATAGTGGCCTAGCTTTAATTGACTCATGATCTCAACTATTGAAGTTTTAGATCTGTTTATAATATAATAAAATAAATAAACTTCATATTAGTTGTGTGTTTTTATTTGGTAAAGGATTGAAAAAAAACATATAAACCATTAACCATAAGAGGATGATGATGATTCCTACCTTTCTAAATTGGGAACAAGTTTTCCATTAAAATAAGAATTTCAAAAAGTTAGACAAAATAAAATACGGATGAAATAGGTCCTCTATTTTTTTAGTTACTTCATCTTAAGGTTTGAAATAAAGACATTTAATGGCTAAAACCAAATATATTTCATATATATATATATATATATATATATATATTGCTCTATCCTGTTGTTATGGGTGATTTCCTTCGGGATGAACATATACACTTCAGTGGTTCTCAAGAACATTGGTTAAATTTGATATGTATGCATTACACTTGAAATTCACTACATGGTCAATATTTCTATCAGAATACTCTCAATACATACTGACATACTTAAATACATTATAGAACTAAAGCATTTATGTAAGCACGAATAAATTCAACCTGAAACAAAAAATAATTTGAGACGACTTCCTGTTTTCTAAATTGATGTCTAAAACACTTTTAATTATAGGTGTAGGGAAATATTTTTTTGGAAATAGTTATGAAACATAAGGTTATGTTATGTGTTTAATGTTTTATCAGAACAGAAAGGAAACTATAAAAAAAAGTTAAAATACGGGTAATATATAAATTTACGGTTAAATTGTGTTCATTCTGTTTGTGCATCCAAGCTATATTCCTGCCTCATTTGATTGCTTTTTATATTACTACTTAATTATACTACTTATTAATATTCAATAGCCAATTTCAATATCGATCAATTTGAATATATGATGCCTAACATACCATGTCTGTGAGGCGTAGTTACTATGTTTACATGAACCTGTAGCATTCTATTTATTTATCGTTGTAGTGACTTTTTTGGCATTTTAATAGTAACCTCAAATTTCTTGATATTTATTAAACGTTTACTTATGTTACTGTCTCTATTTTCTATGTTCATAACTGCCGTCTCCATTTTTGATAGCCACTGTAAATTTGGATATAAGTACTATTAATTATTGAAATTATCGAATGCTTGTAAATAATCTTAATCCAACTATTTTAGGTAACATTCTTATTTGAACTATGTATATCAATGTGTGAAAACGCTACAAAAACCCCAAGAATTGGTAGTTATAAACATTTTCTATGTATTTTCTGATTTGCAAATAAGTTCTTTTGTTGATGCGCACTGCTTAGGAGACTCATACTAGGACGAAATGACCGTTCAGAGTTTCCAGGTTTTCAGTGGTGATCTAAGGTTGATTCACTGGTGATATCAATTTAAATTCCACAATCTCCACAACCCTATACTGATGAATTCTTCTTATTTGAACTCTGGAATTTCATCTGTAACTCAGTTGTTTGGTCATTTTGACATTTACTGGTCAGTAAGAGCCTACATTACTTGAGGAATTAAGAGCAATTAAACATATGTGATAAGATCGGTTCTGTTACGTAAATAGATAACAGCAACTAGCATACAACACTTCAACATTTGTCTGCTAACATTAAGAGAAGATGAATTGCAGGAAAATTTGTTATTCGAAATATAACAAACAAAACATGATGAAACTCCGTACAGATATTAATGAAGACATTATAATCAAGAAGCCAGAAATCCAACAAACTATGAGCAATCACAACCAGTTTGGTAACAGCAAATTTTATTGAGGTTATAGCTGAAATCACCAAGGTTATCTTTTAGACAAAGACTTAACATGTAATGATGAATAGAACTAGACAACTGTCTTTTATTAGCAGTTCGATGTATTTATTTAACAAAAAGGTTTTCTCCATTTTGATGATATGAAAAACATCAACTATCGTTGTTTTTTTTCTCTTACCTTATCGGAATTCCATGCCCATAAAATGAAGCATTAGTAATCTTAGTAACTTATTCCATCTAGTATGTTTAGTTTGCATCCATTAATAAATGTTATTTTACATCTAATCAAAAATAAATTCAAATAAGTTACGTCATAGAATAATATTGTTTAGTAGTAATGGTAGTTCAACAGTCATAACACCTTTTCTCTACCATATACATCAAACACCTGATACATGAATTTATTATTATTTATTCTCTGTTATTTATAATGAGAAATAAATTTAACCAGATTCTCCTAATGTATGTTCTCCTTCAACGAATACTTAAGTATTTTGATTAGTGAATAAAAGTAAAATTAAAGATTCATGTTTCATCTCATTTAGTACACGTCAACTGAGAATACCTGTATTTCATTACTGATATATGCGCTCATTTATTTTGTTTATTTATTTGAACACATAAATATTGATACGAAGGGGTACCGAATACATATGCGCCAGACAAATCACTTGATTTGTGTGTGGACCATGATACTGCCAGGGTGCCCAAACCGAAGCAGGTGGTTTTCTTGAGGGATCTCACTCGGGGCCTTCGACCTAAATGTCTGATCCACAAGGCAGTGGAGCAACGTCAGGAGATGCAGTCCCACGGTAGCCGGTGACCAACAATTGGTTCATACGCCGTTTGGTTTCTTGAGATTCTGGGGCCTATGTGTACCATTAGTTTGGAATCAGGGTCTTCCAACTCCCCTAGATGGATCTTCCATATATACACTCAAATAGTATCAGTCTTCTACTAATTAACTTTAGACCCTGAATCTCTAAGCGTAAATAAGATCTATTTTTAAATATACATTTTCTATAATAATAATCCAAGAAATTAATAAAATTCACTTCTGTCTAATATGAAACTTTATACAGAAATCAAATAATTTATAAAGAGTAATCTATTTGTTTTAGCCAAACAAACTCGGCAAATACTAAGTTAAATATCACTTCCATTAAACACTAAAGCAATTTATAACAAAGCTTTAAATGGAACATATACTGTTTCTTGAATAACTGGTTTTAGTCCTGTATTTCATATTTCTAACGTTGTTCACTTTATTACAATACACTAGTCATCATATTTATTAGAAGATTTGTTTATATATTTTACACTGTACTAGACTATGAACTATATCAATTATATGAGAAGTAATTATTTTCTCTGACTGCTAAAAGTCAAGTGTTTGTGAGCAGTTTAGACATATAATACGTCATCTTTATAGTTTATATCAGGGATTGACTTTAGTTAAGCAGCCACTAAAACAATTCAACTATCTACACAAACTTGTCAACCTCATTATAATTCATTTGCTGAGTAGGATCTAATTTTGGAATGTAATCTCAAGAGTTCTAATGAGAAGCTATGATCACTGAAGTTCAATCATATCGGGTGTGTGGTGGTTACCTACCAATGACTTTCGAACTGAGCTGAGCAATATAATTAATTTACTAAATTTAGACATGTACACTACTGGATACCAACTCAGTAGTCTGAAGGTTAAACGCTCACCATGAGTCATGAAACTCCTAAGTTTGATCTACGGTGGAGCCATGGATTCTCACTGCTACAAAGTATCATACTAAGACGAAACAGCTATATAATGTTTCCTAGTTTCCAATGTTTGCTTAACTTAAGTCAATTCATAATGTAAAATTCAAAAATTAATATTTACAAACCTCCTATATTCATGGGATAAATGATTCAGAGTTTGAGCAACTAAGCTAGTAGATAAAAGTATTACTTATACATATTTATAAGTATAAATTTCATATTACCTCAACAACCGTAAAAAAACAATCAATGAAAATTAAAACTATATAACATACTTCGAATCCATTTGAAGTAAGTCGGAAAAAATTGAAGCAAATGCATATGACTACAAAGTGATAGCTCACTGAAATGTTTATCTATGGACATAAAAGAAGCACAGATAAAAAGAAAAATATTGCGCATAAACTAGAAAAATACACAAGCACACTAGAGGCCTGAAAGAGAATATAAGCCAAAAATTATTAAGCGTTTCTGCTTAAATATCAAACAGTGATCTTTAAAGAAATATGGAAAGGTCTAAGATTATATAGATGTATTCTCAAAAAATAAAAAATAAAAATTTTGAGCATTCAAATAAACTTATCCAATTGTTTGCTTTATTCTTTGAACTGTTTTATTTCAAAAAGGGAAATTAATTTTTATAATCTCTCTACTTGTTCATATAAAAGTATGAATTGAGTACCTGGGAACTAGAAAACTGGCTGTGTACCATAGAATGTTAATGACTGACTTTTGAAACCT